AGACTGAGTTGAAGGTACGTTTCTTTTGTGTGAATGCGTGTTCTTCCTTCTTTCGCTTAATACGATTTTTTTCCCCGTTGTTTGAGAGTTACACTTGATCGGTTGGAAAGTAATGCCAATTTTTGGTAGTATAATATCTTATGTAAATGACGTAAGCTGTTCCCAAACTTCAGAGCTTTTGAGCAACTCAGAATTCTACATAAATATTTACAATATCATCATTGATATTTAATGAATTGATTGATCATTTAAACATTATGAACATTTTAACTCGTCGTTGTATTATGATATGTAAGTAAATATTACAAATAAATACACTGAAAAATGCTAGAAATTTGTTGAATAAAATAGATAATACAAACTCCAATGTAGTTTAATTTAATAAGATTTGTCTTCAAGATTCTTTAAAAAATGTGAAGTGACTCTCTGGCCGACCTAATACAGTGAATTGCTATGCCAATTTACTAAATTGTTAATTCTTATGTAGATTTGTATAGAACAGTTGCTAAAATCTGAAATTTTATGAATATTATTTCATACATAATGTTTTACTAAATTAGAAAAAAAATTGACTATACTTTAACGTTACATCTATTTTGAGTTTTGGTGATTTACTTACACCATGGATATATGTATAAATATTTGCAGTTTATTAATTGCAAATTACTTGCAAATGTTTTCTTGGTATATTGTTAGAATTCATTTAGTTCTCACAATAGGTTAATCTGAACTAATGATTGAGTTCAGATGAAAATTACTGTTTATGTTAATTGAAAAGTAAATTAAATTACATGGTTCGTAAGTATTTCACTGTATTAATTAATAGTACATTGGAAGTGCCCTGGTCATTTTTAATAAAAAATGGCATTACCTTCTTACCAATTAAATACGTCAGCGTTTCCCAATGTTTATTATTCGACAGACGTTCTGTTTTGAATCCTATGCACTACCTACAAATTCTTCAAAAAAAATTATTCTACACAATTAGTCGAATTGAACTGAAGTTAATCGCTTGTGCACAAATTCATTTCTTGTCTCTTCTAGTTTACTAAATTGTACAAATTTTAAAAAGTTCAAAGTGATTCGAATAAATACCATGAATGTCAACAAATATACCGCGAATTTTATGCATTTATAATAGATCCGGATTTACAAAATACAAAAAATTAGATGTCTTTATATTGTTTTGCTAATCATTTCGTTTGATTTTTAATTAAAAAAATTTGTAATAAAGAAAATAAATTTTTTTACCATTCACGCTTATTTAAAGTAGCCTATAATATCTGAACTTGCATGATTCACAGTCTATTGACAAATACCTTGCTCGTCATGATCCATAAATATTCAAAATGAGCACGATAAATAGAATTAAAGATGGATTCGATTAAAAGTATTAACAATAAGTTGAATCTTCAATTTCTTGCCCAACATTCACTGGTTTGTCGCGTTTCTACGGACAAACGTTAAATCCAAAGCTGAGAAACGCTGTTCCATACGCGACCCGCAGCACGTTCTGTCGTTCTAAACGCGGAAGTCGTTTTAATCCTTAGTAGTAGCTATACAAATCATACGTACTATTATACAAATATTTTAGAGCCGCAATGATGCGTTAATTGATTCGTTCGAAGCAAGATTATTCGCCGCGAATGCCACTTTACTGCTGTGTCTGCACTTTTCCCCCTTCCACGCGTCCTCTTTCTGCCGTTTGAATTCGTAGAAAAGCCTATTACCGGTAATTATTCCTAAAGAGTCTTGATTAGACACCGTCATCCTCAAGCATGATATGAAAAAGGTTGTCAATTGCTGTTCTGAATTGAATTTAGAGTCACTGGCAGCAGGACATTCGTACCCGTGCTAAACGTTCTCTAGAACTCCGTAAAAAATCAATTAATCGTCTCGAACCGCTTATTACAAAAATGTACAAGTATGTATGTTTGAGCAGCTTTGCGATACTTTACAATCGTACTCTAATCCGTAACAGTATTTAACGACATCCTACCCTCTTACGAATTCACGTTAAATGTAATCCTTCTACATATCCGTAATTGGCAGTGAACATTTCCGTAATCATTTTTTCCCTTTATCTTTCTATGAATAACCTAACCACATTCTTTATATT